TTAGGTTGAGTCTCCAGAATAGGCTGAATCTTTCCCGTACGCAGTGTAAAACATTGCAATCACTGTTTTTGAGGAGTTTATGCTAAACACAGTCTGCTCCCTGACAGAACTTAAGTGTTAACTTGTCGGGTAAGGGTAGTACAAAAATAACCTGTAAATTGTGTAACTCTTCTTATGCCAAGTTCAACGACCCGGTCCATCCGACGACCGACACTGTTCTTTGAACGTAAAGCAGGAATCGCGAGTCTTTTATGACATGAGACTGTAAAAAGCCCCATTGTGCTGTTTCGAGGGCAGGATTTGTAGGCGTACACTTCTCTGACGTCTATTTCGCAAAGGAGTGACGTTACTCGATCTGTCACGAGTGCAGGCCCCAACATGAACGATTTCATTTCCATCTGGGACTCCGACCTGTAACACACGCGGTCAGTCGTATGACGGCGGGGATTTGAGCGCGGCCATCTCAGTCTGGGGTTGGAATACAGCTGTCTCGTAAAAAAATACAAGTTCAAATGTGTCAATCAAGTTTTATTTACCCCTGGTGATGATATCTTTCAAGTAGAAGTTAACTGTTCCACGCACCACGATCAGTGCGGCCGCTGGGATGGCTACCCCCAGGAACAGACGACAACCGTCTGAATACTGAAAGAGTGACCAGCGATTTTTTTATTTTAGCTACGTGACGCACGATGCCAAGCACTTTATCTACTTCTACATCGGGACCGTTGCCATACTTCTGTTCAGGGCTGGCTAGTTCGTCCGAAACCGCGAAGCATTACTTATCTACTTGCATGTAACCGAGAGTGTCATATAATAAAGTCATTGGCTAATATGCCTTCCTCATTTGCGGGGGCGTTCAACGCTGATCAAAACGCCAGTCGCCGCGTAGAATGCCTTTGATCGCTGTTTTTCAAAAAAAATCCTAGTAAGGCTGGTTGGATACGGGAATATGGACGGCCGTATTACAGGCGACCTTGCGCCAAATCCTAGGGAGCAAGAGTTAGTGTTAAGATTAGAGTTGCTGTTGGTATTCGGGTTAGAGTTGGGGTTAAAACTGTAGTTATGGGAGGGGTGTTACGGCAAATGCTAGGGCTACATTTTAGGCACGGGAATACGTACCCCCTGGAATTCAGCACAAGGGATGCTTACTCTCGTCTCTACTCGCTAGTGTGGTACACGTGAAGGCTCAAAGTTCCACTGGAATAGCATACATCTTTTCATCTTGTTTTAACAAGCTTTTGGATTTCTTGGTTTCTGGATTTGGCTGTCAAGGCCATCAAAACGCGCGTTAAAACAGCGAATTTGCCTTACTGACTTTTGCTATGCAACCTGTAATCCGATTTTTTGGCACAAAGAACGTATGATCGACATTTCTCAATAAGTAATGCACCGCATGACCTCATGACACGCTGTTTATTTGCATACTCTGAGAAACAGAGACCCGTGATGGGGCAGTCTAGAGTAGGATGACATACAACTCGCGTTTTTACCTTCGTAATAAACATTAACTTAAAATATTTTTTTATGTTTCAACATAGATGCCATTCACAACAAACTCTGTGGTAGCGAAGATAGGAATCTCAGCTGACAGATTAGAACACGAAAAGTCATTTTTGATGAAATTTCGTCCACTTTTCCTACATCGCTGCACAGACGAACCATACCATCAACGAATGGGAAAAAGTCCTACATTCGGGCAGCTACAGTAAACTTAAGGCAGTATGGCAAGGCAGTCAAATTTAGGTGGTAGGATGTCACTCCGAAGCAAAAGAGACTGGGTTTCGACATCCGGTGGTGAACTCAAATTAGCGCAGCTCGGAATTAGTTCAAAACATGTGGTTAAGTTCAGTTGATGAGAAGCTGTAGAAGATTTAGCATACTTAATCGCAAAGTGATTCAGGAACGGAAATGTCCCCTGCCCAGGAGTTCTAAGGGCTCAGTCGTGCGGACGGCTTTTGCCGGGGGACAGCTTTGACGTTTTCTGTCACGTGGGCGCGACATTCACGAACTCGCACGATTTCCGATTCAGTTTTACCACTGCGTTTTGGCCTTTAGTCCTCACAGTTATTAGAGCGTGGGGTTGGGGTATGGCTCGTCAATAAGGGAAATGGGGTCATAGGTGTACATGGAATATATCCCTGACTCTTAAATGACAATACTTATAAATTTTCAAGTCGTAGATTGCGACATATGTACGCAGTAAATAAAATTTAATAAAATAGTTCATTTTCCATCATCAGTACAAGGTTTTCCAAAAACGTCCACAACTTCCGGAATACTGTAGGCTGTGTGGTTTAATGAACAACGCGAAAATAGGCCAGAACAGTCTGAATTTATCGGGGATGCCGCAATCTTCGTACAGAAATTGAGATCGGTAAACCAAGGGCAGTCAATGCTCTGGAGTGGATTTAGAAAACACTTTGACCAATTATAAAAATGACGATGTCAAAGGTGTGGTATGTAACCCCCATGGTGATACTTTAGTTAGCTACGACCCTAAACCCAACCGTGGCCATGCCTGTAATAGGTAACCCTAGCACTTAATCTGTACGCCGTTAAACTCAAATGTAACCGTGACGTAAACCCAGGCCTTGATACCCTAATCCAAATTTCAACCACACTTCTAAAATCCTAACCGTAAGACAAAAACCCCAATCCTGGCCTCAACCCCAAATGCAAGCCTTAACCCAAGCCTGGCAACCCCGGTTCCAAGAATGACCCAACTCCTAACACTGACCCTAAACTTGAGTCCGATGTGGCCAACTTTAACGTCAATAATGCTAGTGTATTGCACAACCCCTTTCGCGGTCGATTGCCAGGCAAACCGTCATGAACCACATGTGCATAAAAAGGAGGTAGATTTTTAAACAACTACCCAGGGGGACACATACCCTACCTTCCCAAAGGCCAACTCCATTGACCGGAGAGCGTACTGTAGCGGTCCCTGATGTGCTCGGTGACCCTTAAACCCCAAAATCCTCGTGAGCCTTCGTACAAGATCAATTCAAGTGAATTCGGATTTTCTTAGTTCCCAGACCAACAGCGACGCAGTCCTACCAAGCATCGAGTCTTTCTGCTCAGATGAGGCCCACAGCTACCATGTAGCAGTGATTACTCACGATCCGGCTCAGTTGGAGTGAGGTAGCTAGGTGTGGAGGGAAGCCCTTGGTAGCATTGTGATGCGGCAGCACTCCCGACGGACAGTCCGATCAAGCTGTACAGACATGCTGCTCGATAAACTTGTTACGCCCCTCTGTAGGTTAGATAGCCAGTTCTAGGCTTTCGACTGAAGATGTAAAAAATGGTAGGTCACGTGTGACTGTCAATCACCGATTCGGCCTAACTGCAGAACGGAGCACGGAATCATCTGTTCGAACCCTAAGCTAAATAAGCAAGCTGACCGGGGCTTGTGCCCCCGATTTCCCCGGTCTACGACTAGTTGATATCAAATGAGACGGGATTCAGAAAAAGGAAGCTCGATAGCTGGAACAGGTGTCGCCTGGTATTGCAGATTCCCATCGAACCCATCATCAGAGCGCGAATAAAAAGGAGTACCGAACGCACGGTGGCTACAGTACTTACAGGACGCAGTTACTACGCTGCATCAGCATACAAGTGATACAATTAGGAGGCCCGCATTTATCGCGATGTTTCTACGCGGTACGGTGGTTCCCTGATCACGCATATGCTAGCCTTTCGTCAATGTGCCTGCACCACCAGCGTTGGTGACTGGCGTGATAAACACTTGGCGGCTTGGTCCGTCAATGCTCACACTGACAGCAATGTTCATCAGAGCGCTCCCTGTACGATTACTTGCTCTGTCCAGGCAAAGTTCTGGTGTTGTCCATGGAGACGGTGATCATGGCGCTCGTCAGTAGACCGCTAGCTGGAGAACCATGACTCACAATTGTCACCTCGCGCGAGAATTTCAGCCTCGTCATACTGTAAGGGGCGACTGAGTCCTGGCGAATGAATTGTGAACTGGAAGCTGGCGTTATTACTCCTTACTACTGATGCGTGCTCGATAAATCGCATCCGAAGTAATCATCGAGCTTCTCTTACGTACTTTACCCGCTGGCGACTGCACTAGACTCGATGAATCCGCTAGCCGTTTTCGCCTTTGTCTCCGCTGACGGCATCGTTAAGCCGCGGCCGTCTATTCCAATCACCTTTGTCTTAGTCCGCAATACGCCATAGCTACAGCTCTCAAACAGCAAGTCCAAGTGGGAATCCGGAATGTCAGGCGAGTAGGATTCTCGAGTCGGTAAAGAAGGACAGGAGGAGGAGGAGGAGGAGGAGGAGGAGGAGGAGGAGGAGGAGTAGAAAAGATAACTTTTAAGAAAAGAACCCCATTTCGATCTTCCTCCTAATACCTATTAACATTCTGATTAAATCACAAGCGGTGCCTATCAGGAACAGAAAATAGCTAGCAATTAGGGTGCACGGTATCCACCCCCTCCCCATGAGCATCTTCTCGGATCAACGCCACCTCGGAGGCCTTGCAACCTCAGTCCAAGAGCGAAGAGACCATGTCGGCTCGCCCATTCCCGCGGCGCCCGTACTCCTGGCATTGAATTCAGTGCATGAAGCATGCGAGACAACAATTGCGGAACCAGTGTTCATCCGCTGTTTACTGCGAGCTGCAGGGGTTCTCCGTCCACTACAATTTCAGTCATGGAAATGCGTCACTTGCCCGACGCTCTGGGGAAAGAAGCTATCGTCGTTTACGATAAATAAGCCGGTGGTCGACCTTCTGATCCGCAATTCTACCTGATAACTTCTCAGAAAAGAACGGTATTTCAGTCTTTCTTCTAATACCTATTAACATTCTGATTAAGTCACAAAGGGTGCCTATAAGGAACAGAAAATAGTCAGCGATTAGGGTATGCACATGTAAAAAACTGACGAATTAAAGTAAAATAGCGGCTGTGTGAAAAGGAGGTGGCTCTTCAGTAAAAGTGACAGAAAGACTTGGGATGATACGAGGTTGCACAGGGTGACTAAAAGTGTCGATCAAACACGCCTGGTAGCAAGGGGTGTTGATGCATGCCATCGGGAAGAAGACAGCTGAGGAACTGGTAAGTCATCAAGCCCGTGAGGCCCCAGATACGCGGCCAGTCGGATTTGCCCGGTGGACCGCCAAAGACGGGCATTGCAAAGCGCATGCTGAGGGGAGAAGGTCGTGGGCTTGTTTTAAAGGGACGCGAGCGCAGGGTGGAGATGCCGGTGAATGGAACGGCTCGGTGCTCACAGAAGAAGGCGTAGTGGAAGTTGCGCTTGTCGCACAGCCAATCAATGGATCGAAAAATAAGACTCTCAACCTCGGATTCGTTGACTGCCAGTTTGATAGCACCACCATTGGAGTGGTCAGGGTCAGGACGGTTAGAAAGGGTATCGGTTTGCGAGTTGTAGTAGCCGCAGAAACCCACTACGGGGTTGATAAAACTGGAGGTGGACTACAATGTAAGAGTAATCCCTGTATAAACGTAGGTTATTTGAATCAAAGAATGGAATGGAATGTTCGCCTCGGTTTTAAGAAACGGAAAATAAATGCCTACTTGTTGACTTAAGTAAACACAAGTTAATACTTCAGAGCACGTGGTTCCACCTAGCGTTCTCTCGTCCATACTTTTCAATTACCGAATAAACCGGGTCATTCAGCGCGCACTAACAGACCATACCGCAGTCTTGATAGGTCATAGCCAACGTGATACGGCGCTTGCTTTGCTTGATAAAGTAGCTTGGTTATCAATTGGCTCAAAAGAGGTCAAAAAGGTTTTGTCGTTCAACTCTTTTGTCGGCTGGTGTGCTGCAGTGTGTTGCAACTCTTTGGAATAGAGTACGGACGCAGCTGCGTTTGGGTGGATACCCAAGCTACTTTGTCAAGCAAAGCAAGCGCCCAGTGAACAGACGACGGCCACGAGAAAAACAACTCGAAGTCCGGAAAGCTATTCCTTACATCAAAGGAGTTTCCAAGGCGGTTTCACGACTGTTACAACCCGCCAGGGAAGACATTGCTTATCGACCCTAGGCAACAATTAGTCGCCGTTTGATGCAACCAAAAGACATACTGCCACCCACAGAAACCTCAGCAGTTATGTATCAAATACGTTGTAACGATAGCGACTGCAACTACGTTGGGGAAACCGGACGGAAATTGCAGGCCCGCTTGCATGAGCACAAGCTGGCAACTCGGAGACTAGACCCGAACTCACAGCTTGCGACTCATCGGAGAAGCTGGCCATAGTTCTGACCTTCAAGGAACAGCCGTCTTAGGCCGAGGCACCTCAAGGACAGAACGTCTCCCACTTGAGGCTTGGTACTGCGATGCCAACTCCATCAACAGGCATCCAGACCTTCCTGCGGCCTATAAAGTCCTACGTCAATACATATGCCATGACGAGGACAAGACAGTCATACGGGACTTAAGAATGCCGAGCAAACACGGCCTGTCGACCAATTCACCCAAAAGGGGAACACAAACGCAACTAACCCCTATTGAGGCGACGACACACAACATAGGAGGCCACCAACACTCACAACCGACGGCTAGCAGTCCAAGGTTGCGAAAAAAGAAAAAATCGATCAGCCCAAAGCCAACTAATTCGGCTGTGTACTCAAAATTCTGATCGACTTTTGCACTAGACGCTTTGATAGTGGAGAACCGCCCAAGCTCTTCGAAACGTCAGCCAAACAATATCCTTGATACGGTGAGCATTTTCCCTTCCTCAGATAACCGACCCGAAACTCTCACGTTTGCTAACCTGACTTCCTTGACTTCGTTCGAGAATCAGTTGCCGAGTGAAAGAAATGAAAATCGATTATTTGTGATGAAGTTAACACGTCGGCCAAATCAGTCATGGCAAAGGCCGCCGCAGGTAAATACTGCATTTCAGCGATAAAAATAAATCATATGAGTGCTAAAGTTCCGCGTCAATGATGTGGTTATAACGGCTGCTGAACCAATAAAATTGTCGAGGTACAAACGGAATTATTGGCTAGTGGAAAAAAAGTAAGCAGACCTACCTTCGTTGGACAGGGGCAGAACGTCGTCCATACATCAACAAATCTCTTTGGGATACCAACCTCTTCCTCCAACTCACGCAGAGCAGTTGTCACGGGCTCCTCATTCATATGCGCGTCAATTTTACCGCCGGGAAAACTGTAGAAGAACCACTACGAAAATGAAGCCTCGCCTACCTAACTTCTCCGGGATGAAGCCGTAGATGCATTGAACGTTTGGTATAAAGGATGGCGGGTTTCCCATCATAATACATAAGAGGAATCAATATGGCCGAATCATGACAAATTTGGGGCTTCGGCCGCAGTGGAGTCACCTTCTTTAGGAGGCGCACACAACGCTGTCGATTCGCTGAGTCAAAAAGCTGCATAAACTTGGACATGAGGGTCTGTGTATGGGAAGAAACAAGGTGCCATTGGCGAGTTACTCAGTAATAATGGTGATTTCTGTCGGCATACTATTCATAGACGCAACCAAAATGAATAAACTATAAAAAATGAGTCGAGAAATGGAAAGAGTATTTTTCTATTCTAAGCTGTTTACAACCTAGACCAACTCACGTCCTCGATTTAGCCGACACATCGATAGTCATAAAGGCTAAAACAAGATCATTTGGGAGTGACGGTTGCGCAAGAATTCGGCCACAGATCGATCAAGAGATCTAAGCCATAGGCAGTACAGGCCCTTGCCCCGAACGGACGCCAAGGCAGACATAGCTAGTCACAAAGACGTAAGGGTGGCCTAGTTGAAATGCTTCGCAACTTACTTCTTCACCATCGAATCAAGAAGCCTTTGACTCTATCGGCCTTATAATCCAGAAAAGGCAGAACCGGTAGGCCAAATCGCCTAAAAGAACTTCCTAACGCTGCAAGAATTAAAATCTCTCGTGTCTTGCCCATAGTCCAAGAGCCGCAAAGCTTAACTTTACTCAAGGAGAACAGAAGGATACTGACCACTATCAAAAAGATGAAAATACTGTAATCCCACCTGCTTATAAAAGTGGTATAACGGGCATCTTGAAGAGGAAGGACACGATTGAAATTTTGATCGGCTGCGGCGATCTGGTTTCTGCCTAAAGGAGAAATAGTTCTTGTACACAAAAATGAACAAACTACAGAGGAGCTCCAAGACTTACGTAAACAAAGCTAATACGAAAACTGGACCAAGAGTGTATCCATTTATTTTAGCCGATCATGTCTTATCTTCACAAGTAATGTCTGCAAATGAAACCGGAGCCGATAATTAAGGGAAAAGAAATGCACTCATAGGCACTTTCTGTCGAACAGTTAGTATTAAAGCCGCACTGATAGCGATGTGGTGATGTCAGAAATGGTTGCTTCGGTCTTCCTGTCTTCGCATCTTCATTGTTTCAGGATCGTGTGCGCTAGGCCAAAAGTGAGAGGGCATTCCGGGTTCCACAATCAAATCAGACCGGCGCATAAGGAAACCCATGTTAAATATAAGATATAAAAAATTCAGAACAAGACTAGTCCCGAAGTTTATGGTGAAGGACGCAGTGAAGTTTCTTTATCTGGTGATAGTGTTAAAAATTCAAAGCCTTTGCAAGGTGCAGCCCTTCCCTAACATCTGTCCACTGATATGGCGATTGAGGTCCAAGCAGAAGAAGGAAAAACACAAAGACGATTGCGAAAGATCGTCTTCATAAATAACGAGAAACAATGACAAGCGTGCGAAAAAACCGGCGCCTGTGGCAGTCTTACGCTGTAATACTTGACAGCGCCCTACGCCAATTATGTACTCGGGGTGTCTCAGTGCTGGCAACCTGGTCTGCTGTGACCACATGATCGAACCAAAGCACTGATAATAAGGACGTTACCGAAATACTTCACACAGCACCCATGATAACTAACAAAGTTTACAGAAATTCGACTTCCAGTAGACGGGTATTTATCCGCCTACCGTGGTAGACACGTTGACCGACGACAAATAAAAGGACCGGGAAACAAGTTAAAACATCGCCCTTCAGTAGAACAAGTCGATTATTAGGCTAAAATGTCTTCTTATCAACCACTTTACGAAGCAAACTGTTACAAACATGCACAGAAGCACGAAGCACTTAATAATAAAGTCAATCAAATCATGACTGGCACTTAAGCACCCAGGCATGTTTTCTGTTTTGACCAACACACACATCATTACGGAGTGAGCAGACGGTCTTCAGAAAAGGTCCTTAGATAACGAGGGGGTAGCCTTTACAAGAAAAGCCAGTTACAAGACAGTTCAAATGACCTGGTAGTGTCATGATTCTTTAGAAATCGAAAAATATGCTTAGAAGGGTTTAAGCCTCCAAATTCTGGTGCATGATGTCTATACCCGGCAGCAGTAAAAATAAATCAATTTATAATACCATCCATGTGAGTCAATAATGAACATACTTTTTTGTTTGCATCTCGGCATCTTTTGGGGAATGCCATCAGTAAGAGGTCTTATTTAACCCAGCAACAGATCCTGATGCTAGCATACATTAATCCTGAATCACGTATATGGCTAAAATTGCCAAGTTTTAAACAATAGGGCAAGAAAGGCGCTAGAGTGTACTTTGGCGGATTCTAAGAGCTAAACGCCTCAACAACTGACAAAACAATTTCACATTATACGATGGCAGCGGCGGAACTCGATGATTGGCACTCGGCATGAAAATCGGCGTACAGATCTGTCGCTGGTTTTGGAATCCTAGTAAGCATACATTCATCATGTCCGGACTTCACGCACACCAAAGTGTTGTTGTCTATGAAGTGAAAGTTTACCACGGAGGCAAACAGGATTTTAGCACAGAAAGACCAGTGCATGGAAATATTTGTATTCCTATGCAAATACACTACGAGGATGGGTGTAATTCAAACTGACCAAACAACAGCTGTAGGGTTATAAGAGATATGAGGGATTTCTGCGCATATTAGGGTGGGTATCGAAACACAAGTGCGACAGGAATCAATTCTAGTTAAATCTTTAAAAAATGTATTTTGTAAAGAGCCGAACCACCGTGTGTACTGTGCTTCAAACAAGTAATCCGACGGAGCGTGCTCCTGTGATCCAAAAAACACTGAGGTGGTTTGGTTTAGTTTATCCGCACTGCCTTCACCATGATCCGCTTAAGAACCCATCAGGATGAGCGGACCCTCGTAAAAATGAGCCCAAACATGCCGACTGAACTGTATATCAGGGTTTCACGGAAAAAGTACAATTTGGTAACTGCATACACCAATTGAATTAAGTCAAGGTTTACTGAGATTGTAAAGCTGATTCTGCCACGAACTGAAAACTTTGAAATTATCAGATAGACGACCGTCTATCTGACAAAAAGCAAAGGTGGATAACGAGATAGAGAGCATGAGAAAAAAGGCGGTATTTCGTCGTAACACAAGGAAAAATAACCACAAGAGCACATCAGCAGATGTTATTTTTGCCTTTCGTGTTCGCATTTCAGCCCGGCAAAACACATTGCTTATCAGATGAAAAGCATCAGCGCTAATTCAGACTCGCATGCACCTAACCACCTTATTGTTTCCTTCTACAATCAGATCGACGGCCAGCAATATCGAAACGAGTAAAAGTGTGGATACGGCCATTTGCCAAATGGCTTCTGCGGACGAAAAATCCGTCGCAGATAAAAATTATGTAACAAAGGAGTAAAAATACTTAGTCCGCAACAACTATCAAATGCCTGAGGTATGTGTAGAAGTCCAACTCAGAAAAATCAGACTGGTAAGCGGTGTCGAGAAAGACGGGTTAAAATGAATCAAAAATACGCACCTACTGAATCAGGGATAGCGAATTCGCATGTCTACAAATTCTGAAACTCTCCCGTCAAGTCACCAAACTGAATTCGACTTGACTCCGCAGAATAACTGTGAAAGTTCGACCGACACTTATGATGTCCACCGTGTGCTCTACAGCAGGATAGGTGCAGGAACGGCGACACACGCGAAAACTTGCCCACACTAATTGTTGAATTGTGATGCATCTACCGATAATTCTTCTCCTCCCTCACCTGGTCACTATGTCAAGAAACAGACAAGAAATCCGGATGTATGGAGGGCTGCAGGTGCCTGCCGCGCACGGAGCCGCCCCTAGATATGCCGTCACGCCCGCCTCAAATCTCACTACTTGGAAGTGTTATAGACGCCATATAATGCTGTGGCGATTACAGCCCGATCCTGAGACCAGCCGTTAACCACTCCGCACAAACACAGACTGTGCCGACTGCTAGGTCTAGGTTGTCCCGTAAAGCTGGCAAATGTTTAAGCCATGGGTTTTGGCGCAGCGTAATAGCTTCAAGCGCGTCAGGTATTTGAAAGCGAGTAATGTGCACTGCGTCACCAAACTCATTATCCACTTTCATTCACGGACCTCAACTACTGTCCGAGCCGGCCAGTGGTCTGGTGCGGAGGCTGAACGCAGTGGCTGACGGAGCATAATAAGTTCGGTCGTCGCAGGAGACGAAAAACACCACTGTTCGAAGGAAGCGACTGATAGTAATTTTGTTCCTTGTGAAGCCAAATTGTGCAGAAACTGCGACATTGTCTCCTCAAACGTTGAGCCAACATGGATGGAGATTGGTGCGGGGCAGTGGCTGGAGGGCGCCACATGAAGGTCCTACTCACCTCCTCCTTCAAAAATATATATCGGGATTTGGCACACAAGGGGATAGATCTCTCCAGTCCCACTTGTTGCAGAGTAAGCGCAAGGAGAAAGGAGCCGAAAAACACACACGAGAGTTCGATCGTCGTGACTGAGGATGTCCACCGTGAGCTACACAACACGATGAGAAAAGGCACGGTGGCTAGTGTATGAATTAGTTTGTGACAAATGTAGACTTTCACTGCATCTATCGCACTTCGCCTCCCCACCCATGCCTGCTGTCAAAACATAGTCATGATGACCGGGGATAGGAGAGGCCGCTGGTCACTTGCTCGGCGCAAACCCGCACATGGGCATATCGCTACACAACCTGGTCCGCAAAAAGACCCGACCAGAATTTTCAACAACCAATGTAGAGGACGCAGGTATTCGAATTGGCGTGGCATGAGCCAGCAAATGGGCCTTTAACCATACCCAGAATGTTGACATTTTGATGGGTGCGCGTTTATGTGGTTCCTTTAGTTCGGACGCCGTAGGCTGCCCTAATGTAGGTGCAGGGATTTATCGTTTCACTGTTGTTCCCCAATCCTTCTATTTTCTCGGACTTGTGATTAATCCAGGCGTCTTGCGCCCCCTACAGTTACTGGTGCACTAGACGGTGACATTTTAAGAAGGCTGCCCTGCTTACGCCGGTTCTTCGATTGACGTGCGCTTTGTGCAGCCTATTCTCCTCGGCATGCAGTTTACGAGTTTTTCTTCCTTGTCGTTGGTTTTATTCTCTCGTCGACGGTAGCTTCCAAGCCAGTAAGGTAGCGCCACGGTATTTCTAGGGTGGCGCTGTCGTCCGGAGTCTACAGTATTTCCATGCACATATTGTGTTGTTTACTGTTGCCAAGAGGATGATCAGGCACATACAACATGGCATAATTTGACTTACGTCGACATTTGTGAAAATCCAGCCGCGTCACGGACTCCGACCACCTCAGATTTTCTGTACACAATGCACGTCTTCTATTGGTATCTTTTCCTTTCTCACCCAAAACGAAATAAGTTCGAAATTTTTATGGTGCTCTGTGTAAGATCACAATTTATAGACTACAATATCACGGCCTAGCTGACTGCTGTTGATATGGCAGAACAAAATTCTGCTCTTAATACGCTACAATGAATTCATTAATAATCGCGTTTCGGAAGTTTAATAACCGCACGACTTTTGTGCAGCAGATCTGGACGCGTATGATAAAGCAAAACAACTTGCTTTTGGGGATGCAGGAGGAGGAATAGCATCTAATCATGAAGCGACAAGCAAAAACTCGAAATAATTAATGGTATAGAAGAACAGATAACAGGTGAAATACAGTACGTTTCACAATTAGCAATGGACGATAGGAGCTGATAAATTCTGCAGCGGGTATAATGAGTAAAATGTAGCACGAACGGAAAAGCAACCGAAAGAACAGAAAAAGGCAGTCCGCATCCAAAAGTTTTCATACGAAAACCATCAATTTAGAAAGAATATAATGATAATCGGTCAAAGTCAAAAAGCTACTCACGTGACTGAAGAACGTTGAAGTGTTTAACGGAACCAATTTCATACAAGTGACCATCAGTAAACGCAGCTTTTAGCTGCACTTCATGCGCCGTAGATCTCCGTTAGGAGGCATATTTGCCGTCGCTCCAGGCAGTTGTGGTCTACTACCTGCTGATTTTAACTTATTCCCAAAAATTGAATATTTTCCTAATACCCCTATGCGAACTTTCCACCATATTGTCATGCATGACCGTTTTCCTTTAAGGCAATATTCTGGTAATGCGCTACTGCTTCTTAAAGACCATATAACTGGCCTTAGCTTTTAATATTCTAACTTTATCCAACATACGTTACCTGTGTAATTCTTTTGGCCACATCGGTCGCCTCTTATTTAGATTTTGTCGATCTCACCTTGTTAAACATGCAAGCGTCTGCATGCGTTGCTCTCACGTCCATGCAGAGCAGTGAACTTTATACCGACCGGCTCTTTACATTCGACGAAGAATGACAGCACTAATTACATGTTCCGTGCCTACTTATTCTGGAAAGATAACATGTAACATGTGGCTCTCATTGATTCTGACCAAAAAGCTGGTATTTCGTAGTACTGACCTACACTCCCAACTGTTTAGTCAAATAGTACGCATTGATAGCTGATTCTAACCTTATTATTGGCCCTCTGCGGGAATGACTTACACAGTAACAGCCAGGGAGCACGGCGTGCGGTTTTAATAATTCGAATAATCTCGGCGACCCTATGTGGTACCGATATTCACATTGCGAGCTGGACGGCATAATGCAGTTCGCGACATTTTCACGAAGGTTTAAGCGCAAACTACTGGACACAGTTCCATAAAAGGACATTATCTCGGTGTAGCATTACTCTCTATGCTTCAAATTCCAGCAGCCTTAACGTTCTTTATGCTTAACAGTTAGTTAGACGACTCTTGGCCGTCAGCTGCGAATACGTGACAGTTCGACCGCCGCGTCGTACGATGTCTACCGTGTGCTCCATAGCAAGGTAAAGCAGGCAAGGTGACTTGCGCGTGAGTTAGTTTACAGTGTGAGTAAACCTGCACAGCATCTACCGCACACTCTCCTCCCAACCTGAGCCTAGTGTTAAGACATAGTCAAGAAGACTAAGGGTGGGGCAGGGCGCAAATGACTGACACGGCCGGACCCGTCCCTGGGCGTGCTACCACACTCTCTGGTCCACAACCAGCACTTTACCAGGATTTTAACTAACAACAACACAACAACGGCTATGCAGTAAAGAAGTGACTACCAGAGCCTCAGCTGCGGCATGCGGTTGTTACTAGCCCCAACAACACTAGCGGTTTTCGGCCAGATATACCCTTGCGGAAACAGCAAACATACTCATAGCATGGGTTTTAATTTCGCCTACCGCGTCCTGTAAGTAGACAGAGCACACAACGCCATGTGTTGTTTTTTAAATTTAACATTTTTTTAAAATAACCACTGCTTTTATTTCTATTCTACCGCCTGGCTTTGCGATATATATGACTGCGCAGTACAGTACATACCCACACGCTTGTTCCTAGGCAGGCGGCAGTTCAGCACCGAGTCAGAACGACTCTACACCGGCCTCCTGTGCTATCGTCAGTAATTCTAATCATGCCAGTGGTTTTGCATAGTGCTTAAATTAGCAGAGATGCCCCGGTGCACAATCGCTCCTTCAGCAGTTGGTATTTATTGGGTACGGCTACATAATCATATCCAATCCTCTTTCCCTTAAGTTACAGGCAGTTACGGGGTGACCTGATACAAACCTTCCGTAGCATACGCCGTCAGGACCGCGGCCTCGTACCGCGGGACTTCTTTGAGTTAGCAACCACCAAAACCTACGAGGTCATTCATTCAAATTACGTGTGACAGGGGCCAGGCTGGACACAAGAAATGTCTTCTTCTCTCGCAGAGTGCTTGAAGATTGGAACGCCCTGCCTCCGGATGTCTTTATGTCTGCTTTAAGAGGAAGCTGGATTTGAATAGCGATGTCCACTAAACTACCACCCGACCTCTGTAACCTCGGCAAACCCTGTCGTTGTAATACTACTTGCTATATTTCAGTAACATCTTAACCAAATTTCGTATTGTATCGAATCCATCGCTTACGCTTACTGGCATGCACATATGTAACTTTTGTCACCGGGGATATTATTTCTTTCCCTGCACACTAAACGACCATCCTACCACTGCTCGTACCATTAACACTCGAGACAGTTCGTCTATCTATACAGAGTTTCCGATTATTTGTTACCTTTATGGTACCTTATCCAGTTTTTGCGACGTTCCAGTTGCTTGTAAACAAATTGGGAGTTCAAAGATGAAGTCCTACATTTCCCCCAAATAAAACTGAACTGAACTGAATTAATGTGCTACCCTAACCCCGAACATCAGCCTCATCAATATGGTAACGGATGCAGATAAATATAACAGCAATCCTGATATGCAAAGTCTATGCGCACACGTCCGAGTGGTGGTAGGAGAGTACCATCATCCAGCAAATTGAGTTCATTGTTGGGAAAATATGATTCATTGTCTTAACAAGTTTCGGCCAATCGGTGTGTAGTATGGGTAATATCATTCTGATCAAAACACCGCCGTCAAACTCGATTGTTTATCTTGTACATCAAGGTCACCCGATTAGCGGCCGGATGGTAAGCTTGGGTCACAGTCGAGCAAACGGCTATTGGCGCAAACCGAAGCACTCAGTTATACCAATTCTGTTCATCGCACCAACAACCCCGATTAACACTTTCTTGCATTTCAGGTTGCCTGAGAATTTCTGGGGGTGATAATAAACTAGTCGAAGTATCTTTCTGCCGAACCTCGCCGAAAAATCTTGGCTCGCATTCTCCTCCACCGTCTAACTCACCATCTGAAACATGATCTCACGTCGGATAGCTAATGCTGCTTCCGTCGTCGTCGACGGATCATGGACATGCTTTTCGTCGCGCGTCAACTGTAGGACCCACTTATTCCCTACGTTCGTGGATATGATGAAAGCCTTCGACACAGTGAATCGCGAAGGACTGTGTAAAATCATACAGAAATTCGGCTGTCCGAACGATTCAATCAGATAGTGCGTCAGATCCACGGTGGCATGCTGGCGCGACTCAGAGACAATGGACCTGTTTCAGAGGCATTCGTAGTGATCAATGGAGTGAAGCAGGACTGCGTCCTCGCGCCTACCCTCTGCAGTCTCATGTTCTCTGCCATGCTGATGGACGCCTACCGTGACGAACACCCTGGAATCAGTATCACCTACAGGACGGACGGCCAACTCAACCGTCAGCGGATGCACTTCCAATCACGTGTGTCCAAAACTACCGTCCACGAAAATGTCTTCGCCAACGACTGCGTCCTCAACATCACCTCAGAAGGGGACATGCAAGGGAGCATGAAGCTCTTAAACCGCTGCCTACGTCTCGCCCCAAATCAACGTGAACGGCGTCCAGCAGCAAGTCGTAGACAACTTCACCTTCTTTGGCATAACCCTCTCCCGCGCCACCAAGATCGATGATGAAGTGGCCCGCGGGATTTTCAAAGCCAGCCAAGCCTTCGGTTGTCTGCAAAGCACAATCTGGAATCGTCATGGTCAAAATCTAAGCACCAAACAGAACATGTACAAGGCAGTCATCCCACCGACGCCGATGAATGGAGCGGAAACCTGGACGGTGTAAAAAAAGCAGGCACGAAGACTCAATCACTTCCACCTCATCTGTCTTCGACGGATACGGAAGCTGAGGTGGCCGGACAGGATTCCGGACACGGATGTACTGGAGCGGACGGGAATCCTCAGCATCTGCGCCATGCTGAGACAACTGCAACTGCGTTGGAGCGGCCACCTCGTACGAATGGACGATGAGCGGCTATCCAAACGATTCTTCTACTGAGATGTTGCCACGGGTTCCTGCCGACAAGGCGCCCAAGACCACCGCTACAAGGGCATTCGGAAGACGGTTGGATACCAGTGTCGCGACACTCCGTTACTGATGCTAGTATTATTGCAGTTAGTTACCCATACTGTAAGCGTTGGTAGAGTAGCATTGGCAGCCGTGGTGGCGGTGGTAGTAGTAGTAGTACTAATAGTATGATTATTAGTAGTATTCGCCGTATCAGTGGTGGTAGACGGGGGAAGAAGTTTTCTTCAGTGTTGCGACACTGCATTCCCGCCAGTGGTAGTAGTATTAGTAGTAACAACGGTAGTAGTGGTAGTAGTAGCAGTAGTGGTGGTGGTGGTGGTGGTAGTAGTAGTAGTATTAGTGGTAGTAGTAGTAGTCCGCCCGTAAGACAGGCTGGTGGGGGAATAGACAATTCTAAGTGTTGCAACACTGTATTCCCGCCCGTAAGACTTCCCTGATGCGTCTGCAGATCAACCCGGCCAACTGAG